GAGGATGGCGGTACCTCCTGACCTGTGATCCATGTAGCAGGAAGAGTGCTTCTCAAGTCTTTGCAAGCCCTAAGTGAGTTCTTCATCGGTGAATTTCAGGTCCATTCCTGCACTGGTTCCTCTGGTGTCTTCATCGTCCTCTCTACTGAACCACGTCCAGCACAGCCAGGGTGAACCTGCAGAGGAGCGGTGAAGGATTAAAGAAGACAGACAAGAGAATACAGTTGGGGTTAGGTAGGATCACTGTGTCTGGATGAGCGACACAGCCTGTAAGCCGAAGCTTTATTTTATAGTCAGATCACACAAAGCAAAACAAGGGGAGTGGTCGTTACTCAAGCCTTGTTTTGGCAGCACTTGCTGCACCTCCCACAGCCCATTAGCTACCTAGGAACAACGGAGAACTATAAGGTCAAGCTTAATTGTGCCAGGAGGGCTCTGCCCTCCCAGCGGGGATTTGTATGTGGCTCTGCCACAGGTCAGTCCGAGGCTTGACCCTATAGCCGCTCCCTACACTCTACTACATATTTCTATTCTATCTTGGATTGAAAGTCCCTAAAAAAGCAGGTATTGGGTTGGCCCATGATCCTTTTGGTGTCAATTACAGTGATAAAGTAGGTCATGATGATGGCTTTGCTTATGCGTCAACACACATTTAAGTGTCTCAACACCAGTTTGAGAAACAGCTTTGTTTTGTGATATCACCATGATTAATGTACCAAAATGAACAGGTTGTTTCAGAGTTATCTGGTTATTTTTTGCTATAAATTTTAATATTTAATAAGCCATAGGTTATGAATTCACAAGGTACAAAAGGGTACTTTCAGTGAAAAGCCACCTAATCCTGTTCCCTTGTTCTCCTAGAGGCAGCCATTGTTATGCCTTTCTTTTATCTTGTTTCTTGTCATCTTGTTATACAAATATGTCCATCTATCCCCTCCATTTTTTTAAAAATATATTTTATTGATTTTTTACAGAGAGGAAGGGAGAGAGATAGAGAGTTAGAAACATCGATGAGAGAGAAACATGGATCAGCTGCCTTCTGCACATCTCCCACTGGGGATGTGCCCGCAACCAAGGTACATGCTCTTGACCAGAATTGAACCCGGGACCCTTCAGTCCGCAGGCCGACGCTCTATCCACTGAGCCAAACCGGTTACGGCTCCCCTCCATTTTTTTTTATCCTCACCCGAGGATATGTTTATTGATGAGAGAGAAAGAGAGGTGAGAGAGGAACATTAATTGGTTGCCTCCCATACGCACCCCAACTGGGACCAAACTCACAACCTACGTATGTGCCCAGACCAGGAATCGAACCCAAGATCTTTCGGTGTATGGGATGATGCTCCAACCAACTGAGCCACACCGGCCAGAGCTATTCCCTCCATTTTTAAACAAATGGTAGCATATTTTAAACCCTGTTCTGCTCCTTACTTTTTCACCAAATATGTCTCAAAGATTCTTCCATATCAATATGTTAAAAAAAAGTATTTCATAGCTATATAGTAGTCATTGTGTGGCTGTACTATTGACAGCCATTTAGAAGGTTTCCAAACTTTTGCTATTACACATTGGTGTAATGACATACGTGGAAGTGGAAAGTTCAGGTCAACGAGTACGTGCATAGCCTTATTAGATGTTACCGTACTTCTCTCTGGAGGCTGTAAGAATCAACTCTCGTCCTAGCAGTGCATCATTATTTCTTCACACTCTTGTGAATGGACTGTGTGAAAGTCTTTTTTTTTTTTTTTTTTTAATCCTCATCGAGGGCATGCTTAGAGAGAGGAAGGAGAGAGAGACAGAGGAGAGAGAAACATCTATATGCTGCTCTCCCCACATGTCCTGACTGGGAATCTAATCGGGAGCCTTTTGGTGCATAGCATGATGCTCAACCAAATGAGCCACTCCAGCAGGGCTATGTGATGGACTTTTTGATCTTTGTCAATCTGATAAGTGACTCCCAGTGTAATTTTAATTTGCATCTCTTTTATTCTGAGTTAGGTTGAAGAGCCACTTATATTTCCTTTTCTGTAAACTGTTATTTCCATTGGGCTGCTTATGCTTTTCCTTAGTAATTTGTAAAAGTTCTTTATATACTAAATAAATTAAACTCTTGTCAACAATACATGTTGTGAATATTCCCCACCCCATTTCCCCAGTTTCTCTTTTATTTTGCCTTGTGTATGGTGGTTTTTGTCATGAAATTTTTATTTCCTTCTTTCATTTTCTGCGTTTCCTATCTTATTAGAAAGATCTTACTAATCAAAAATTATTTAAAAATTGGCCCAGCTGGCATGGCTCAGTGGTTGAGCGTCGACCTTTGAATCTGGAGGTCATTGTTTGATTCCCGGTCAAGGGCACATGCCCGGGTTGTGGGCTTGACCCCCAGTTGAGCCCACAGTGTGGGGCATGCAGGAGGCAGCCGAACAATGATTCTCCCTTGTCATTGATGTTTCTATCTCTTTCTCCCTCTCCCTTCCTCTCTGAAATCAATAAAAATATTTTTAAAAATTATTTAAAAATTTGTCCCATGGGTTTTCTTAATATTTAAATGGTTTCATTTTCCATGTTTATATTGTTGATATATTTAAAATTTTTGTGTAAATAGTAAGGTAAGGATCAAGTTCATCTTTTCCCAAATGGATAGCTAGGTATTATAATACTTGATTAAATAATTCATGTTTTTAAAATTATATCTAAATTTCCATATCTATTTGGGTCTATTTCTTGGTTTTACCTTCTGTTCTAGTGATTTGTCTGACTATTCACTTGCATGTACCACACAACTTAAATTATTATAGCTTTGTAATATAGTTTAACATTTGGTAAAACTAATCAATCACCTAATGGTAATCTTTGGGTAATAATATTTAACATGTTTTTAATAAAACTATTTGTATATGTCCATAATTCTAGATGTCTCATATGCCTTCTATATCTTCTCTATGTTGCTCTAGAGCACTACATGCTGTTTTTTAGGGTTCTTTGCTTTGCAGACAAACTCAAGATAAATTGAGCATCATCTCCACAAATGCAGGGGATCTTGGATTTGATTCAGAAGAAATGCAGAGCCCAGAAGACATTATTACAAAGGTACCCTTATTTGAGCTATTCGATGTATGTCCCTTGCATGGCATAGCATTGTGTCTGTCCCATTGGTTGACTATAGCCCTGATTACATGGGAAAGGAAGAACTCTAAGCAGAAAGCACCAACAAATCTTGTTTTTTTTTTGTTTTTTTTAAAAATATATTTTATTGATTTTCTACAGAGAGGAAGGGAGAGGGACAGAGAGTTAGAAACATCGATGAGAGAGAAACATTGATCAGCTGCCTCCTGCACACCCCCCACCGGGGATGTGCCCACAACCAAGGTACATGCCCCTGACCATTGTGTCTGTCCCATTGGTTGACTATAGCCCTGATTACATGGGAAAGGGAGAACTCTAAGCAGAAAGCACCAACAAATCTTGTTTTTACCTATAATCTACGAGGTATGACAGACCCAATGTGTTGGGAGGAAAGGACTCTGTCCAATCAGCAGGGCCATGTTGGCCCAGTGGACATCGACTTCTAGGAGGCTCCCGCAACACAATCACGGGAGCTCCTGGAACGTTGAGGTCTCTGGAGTTGACACTAGATTTCTGCAGGGAACTGGAGCCAGAGTGAGAGAAGTGGGAAGAGATGGGAGAGGCCCCTGGGAATCAAGAGAGATTCCACCTGTAGATGATCTGATTACTCCTTGTTCTATTGATCAGGTCCTTGGGATTCCCAAGAGGCAGGAGGACTTGGAGTACTTGGCACGATGCCTGGCACCAAGAAATATGCAGTAAGTATATTTTAAATGGATGGATGAATTGATGAGTGAGGGAGTGGGTACCTGCATGCCACAGGAGCCTTCTTTCATCGCACGTGTCTTCCTGGAACCTCTAGTAACTTCACAGGAAAGAGCAGAACTGGGACATGACTAGTAGGATCTTGTCCTGATTCCTCTGTCCTGTCCTGTTGTCCTGTGCAGGAGAGAAATGCTGAGTGAGCAAGTGCTGTGAGCCCTGCTCATCCACCTCCTGAGTGCTCCGAGAGTTTCTGCTAACTTTTTTCCCCTTGTGTTTCCTCTCTTCTTCAATAGCATGCAATATTGAAATGTCACCCTCATTCATTACCTCCCCCTTTTCTACACCAAATCCTTGGGTAATGCGAGTGAGACAGCTCATTTTAACAGCCAACTCTTATACAGTGTTTACTATGTGCTAGTCTCTGTCTCAAATTATCTACCTATTTAATTATCTTTTTAATACTGAAACCAGGTAGGTATATACTTTTATTAAGCCCTTTGTACAAGTGAGGAAACTGAGTTAACACAGTTTAGTAACTTGCCTGGGACCATGGAGCTTGTAAGAAGATCAGTTGAGATTTGAACCAGGAAGCCCATGCACTGAAACACTATACCTTTCCTTGGTACGTACATGGATGTGTTCACTGAAGTATCACATAAAGCACAGAAAAGTGCACAAATCAAGCGTGTGACTCAATAAATGTTCACAAAGTGAGCACACCTGGGTAACCAGCACCCAACTCAAAGAACAGAACACTCCTGGAGTTCCCAACATATATCTTCCCAATCTCTACTCCGTCCCCACCAAGAGATACCACTGTCCTGACTTCTTTCACCATTCTCCTGGGGGTTTCTTCCTTGTCTTCCTATTTTAATCACATTTGTATTTCAAGTATCATGGGGTCTGTTGCTTAAGCTAAAAATATTCTGTCTTTCAGGAGTGGAGGTGGGGTGGTTGGAGAGAAAACATTCCCTAGATAAGAGAAATAATCGAGGGTAGGAAAGTTAGGGGGCAGTTGCTGCATTTCCCCTCATTCCCTTTGCTAGTTCGCGTGAGGTTCCACTCCTTCCTCCGTCCTCCTCTCTCAGGACTACATCTCCCAGCAGGCTGTGCTCTGACAGCTCTCGGATTTAAATAGGATTCTGGGCTAGGCTTAGAGCCAGGCTGTTGCTGAGAGCTCTGAGAGGAGCTAGAAGAGGGAGAAGCAGCCAGAAGCAGACAAGAGTTGGAGGCAGACCAGGAGCCCGAACCCGAGTTAGAGTCGAAGGTGTTTTTACTAAGGAGCAGAAACTAAAGAAGTTGAAAAGATGATGGTTATCTTGGGACTGCTCACCTCCTTCCTTTCCTTCCTGTATGTGATAGCTCCATCCATCAGGTTTGTCTTAATTTCAGTGACTCATACAGTATTTTACAAATCCCTAAATTGGGAGCCATGGAACTCGTAAGTAGATGAATTCTCTCTCGGCTGCTGAAAGAAGAGGAAGGGATAGAGGTTAAGGGAGAGAAAGCCAGGGCAGAAGAAACAGAAAGGAAAGAGGTAATTATGGAAGCCATGAAGGAAAGTAAGAAGGAAGCACCTGGGCTGGGAGTAGAGGGGCTGATGTGAATGCTGATGCCAGTGGAAGGCTGCGTGGATGAGTGTTAAGTTGCTTGACAGACAACTCAGGGGAAAGTCCTTCTCTTTCACTCTGTTCCCCTGGGTTCCTTGGAAGGTCTTCCTTTCTTCATTGTTTCTAGTTAAGGTGACCCTGCTGGGTTACTAGGTGGTCATTGCTGAGGGACTCATTAAGTACCAGGCATTTGGGAAAGGAAACAAACTCTCTTTCCTCAACTAAAGATGTTTTGGGATGGCTCTTTTGCTGTGGGATTTCTGGAAGTGTCAAAGAGACGTGTCTGAGTAGAGAATTTTCAAATTGCTGATGATAAAGAAGGTTACATGGACATATGAGGGACAGAGTGTTGCTCTGGGTCCTGGCATAGGGACTATTTGCTACGCTGAATAAGCCAGAGTTCGGGAACAATAGTATTTGCTATCAGAACACAGAAGGTAGAAGAATAGGGCAACCATTAAAAGAAATAATAATAATGACAATAATAATTGAGAGTTTTGTGTGTGCCATGTACTATACATGTCTTAACTCATTTAATACAACATTCCTATGAGGTAGGTGCTACTGTTTTTCCCTGCTCTACCTGGGTTCACCTTACAGTTTTGTCACTATTAACAAGTGACTTGAACTTCTTTGAGCCTCCTTCCCCCCCCCCCCCCCACTCTAATATGGGGGTAATAAGAGAGTGGTTGAGAGGATTAAAATAAATTCCCTCCAGAAAGTGCCAGACAGTTAAATGGTGCTCAGAAAATCATCTGTCCCCACCTCTCATCCTCTTTTTGGAACTTGTCAAGTTAACTTTATGTAAAAAGATGTTCTCTGCACAGAGGTCTGAAAAGAGAGGGTTTCTCAGTGTGCTGATAGCTAGAATGGAATCTCTGAAGATGGCAAAAAACCCCACAAACAGGTGAAGATGCTGGCTCTCTAAAACTGGAGAGGGAGCCCAAGAGCCACATTTGTATGTGGGACCCTCTGAGGTGCCATTCCTGTTATTCACTGTTGGTGCTTATTGAAGACCGAGGGCTCAGCACCAGCGAATCCTTTAATGCTCTTTGCATGTTTTAATGCAGGTTAGAGGAGGCAGCTGACCTCCAGGAACCTCTAGAGATAAGAGCTTTGTTATCTTTATCTAATAAGGAAGGTCTCCCTGGGCTCCAGCTCAAGAGCACTTCCACTGTTTGCCTAGATGGCCATTTGTAGCTTCTGGACACATGACCTTCCGACCTGAGCTGACGATCAGGAGACCCCCTCCCTCACTGGGAACACGTCCCCTGGAGATTAGCTTGTTGAGGTCTCCCGATGACAACTGTAAGAAATTCTTCTTTGAGGCTGGATGGATGCTATGTATCTCAGTCTGGGGTTGGGAAGGATGGCGCATGAGTGCTTTTGCTTCCCTTGCCTATAGGAAGTTCTTCGCTGGTGGGGTTTGTAGAACAGACGTGCAGCTTCCTGGGAAGATAGTGGTGATCACTGGCGCCAACACTGGCATCGGCAAGGAGACGGCCAGAGAGCTCGCTCGCAGAGGCAAGTCCCTCCACTTCCATGTCCACAGGGCAGCACCTCCTGCCTTTCTCACCCGGGCTCTGCCCACATTTCCTTGTCTTTTCTCCTGGGCTTGGAGGCTCTGGTCAGGAATTCAAGGAACCTGGGATTCAGGCCCAGCTGTGATGCCAACTCACTCTGTGGCCTTAAACAAACTTCCCTTCCTCCCTGCTCCATTACTGTTTGTCTTATATAAAGTAAGACAAACAATGATGTCCATGTACAGTGTTGGTCAAGTCCCTTATTCTAAAAGGAGATACTAAGCGACATTAAATATCAGAGTGTAAAAACCTGGGTTCCCAGCCGGAGTTACGCTAGTAGCAAGGAGAATGAGCAGGGCTGCAGTGAGAATCCTGAAGAGTGGCAATACAACACTCACTGCTCTAGGGGTGGCTGGAGAACGCGCTGTCTACCAGTCCCAAGCTCACTCACTATACTCTTTCTCAGCCTACGGTCTGAACACATTGCCCTCTTTTTTTGCCCCAGGAGCCCGAGTATACATTGCCTGCCGAGATGTGCTCAAGGGGGAGTCTGCTGCCAGTGAAATCCGAGCTGATACAAAGAACTCCCAGGTGCTGGTGCGGAAACTGGACCTATCGGATACCAAATCCATCAGAGCCTTTGCTGAGGGCTTTCTGGCAGGTAAGGCCCTGGTGGGTAGCCAGAAAAGCAAGAAGCTGGGTGTGGGAGGGGTTGCCCCACCCAGACCTGTCTCTGACCCTTACATCAGAACCATCATGGATTCCACTGGACGGGTTCTGCCACATGAACCAGCAGGGCAGGGAATTGGCAAGGGGATGGCAGGTGGACCAGCTGGGCAGGATCCTTATCATCCTTTTGCCTTTGCAATGGGAATGTTGGAGGTATCAGCTCCCTGTCTGGGCTTGTACCTTGGCATCAAGGTGTGGCCCTGATGCCACTCTCTTCTTTCATTCTGAGAAGCAACCTTCTGTGGCCACAGGCACCAAATGAGGTTGTGTTGCTGCCAAAATTCTTGTGTATCTTGGAAAATATCCAGCTTTTACTAATGACTATGAAATCCATGAGGTTTAGGGGCCATGCCTGTCCTGTTTTACCACTGTATGCCCAGCAGAGTGGGCCTGGCCCAGAGTCAGTACTCAGTACATATTTGCTGAATGGATGGATGAATGAATGAATGAATGATGTCCAGGAAGATATCAATTACTAAAGTTAGAAACCCAAATAACAGTGGTTACTGAATATCACTAAGATAGGTCCAAAGGCAAGAAGTAAATACTCAAGACTGTGCTGGGCAGCTAGCAGACTTCTTGCTAACTACAGGGTCTCCTTGGTTGTGTTACAGAGGAAAAGCAGCTCCATATTCTGATCAACAATGCAGGAGTGATGATGTGTCCATATTCCAAGACAGCTGATGGCTTTGAAACCCACCTGGGAGTCAACCACCTGGGTAAGTATTTCTGAGTGACTGAAAAGCAAGGCTGACCCCATCTTGTTCTCTGTAGGTGTAGATGACCGTACACTAGTGCTGAGAATCTCCAGTGGTCCTACTGGAGGCCAGGGTTCCAATAGACTGGACATACTGGATTTTTGTCCACTATCCCTCTCCTGACTAGTCCAAAAAAGTGAGGTCCTCCTACACATACCATTAAAAAAAACACCCAATTATCAGAGGGAAAGGAGGGTGGGGGGAGGTAGGAAAGGGTATGAGGGGATAAATGATGATGGAAGGAAACTTGACTTGTGTTGAACACACAATACAATAACAGATGATGTATTATAGAATTGTATACCTGAAACCTATATAATTTTATTAACCAATGTCACCCCAATCTATAATAATAAAAGTGTAATATGCTAATTAGACCAGACGTCCTTCCTTCCTTCCTTCCGGACAAAGCCGCAGTGGGCAGGGGGTGAGGGGTGGGGGGTGGGAACCCACGGCAGAGACCCTGCAGCCCGCAGAGGCCCTGCGGCCTCAGCGGGTGGCAGGCGGGGGGCCAGGGCCAAGGCCCTTGCATGAATTTCGTGCATCAGGCCTCTAGTAAATTTAATAATAAAGTAAAAAGAAAAAGAAAAAAAGAAACCCCATAACTTTGAAGATACCAGGAAGAAAAATGCCATTCTTGGATGAGGCTGTGGTAGCACGAGGCTTGCCAAGCAGGGCCAGGCATAGGGCTGCAGGAGCCTATGTTTGGCTGGAGGGAGTCACATGTATAACTGAGGGCTCAGAAAGCCAAGGGTTGGTCGATGGAGGAGGCAAACCTTGAAGACTTGAGGTATGAGAGAGGCTGGGGTTCAGAGTTCAAGGTGAGGCTCTAGAGAGGAGACCATGGAATATGTTCTCTGATCCTAGACAAACGTAATTTTCCCTAACTCTTCCACTCTTCCCTCTGTACATGGGTGTACCTGGACCCACAGTTGTGTGATCATGGCCATAGTGGGGTCAGAAGCCAGCAGGTAGCCTTTCTCCTAATTGGGGCAAGGGCAGAGGTTCAAACAAGTACAGATTAAGTCTATATTGCCTCACCTATAGTCTAGCTCTGGCCCTTGCCTTAAAGAATTCACTAACTCAGACTGCCTGACCATTAGCACTGAGTTACATAAAAATTTGTTCGCACCCAGAAGATAGGGAGCTAATGCTGAAGTCCTGTCCTCAGCTCCCACATCCTGAGTCTTGGCAGCCACTTCACTCTTTTATATATATATTAAAAAATAATATATATATATATATATTTAATTGATTTCAGAGAGGAAGGGAGAGGGAGAGAGAGCTAGAAACATCAATGACGAGAGAAAATCATTGATTGGCTGCCTCCTGTGCGCCCCTTACTGGGGATCGAGCCTGCAACCTGGGCATGTGCTCTTGACCGGAATCGAATGGAACCCTTCAGTCCACAGGCCGACACTCTACCCACTGAGCAAAACCAGCCAGGGCAGCCACTCCACTCTTCAATCTTCCCTGCTGGCTCTCCTTGCAGGCCACTTCCTTCTCACCCACTTGCTCCTGGAGCGGCTGAAGGAGTCCGCTCCTGCACGGGTGGTGAACCTGTCATCAGTGGTCCACATTGCTGGCAAGATTCGCTTCCACGACCTCCAGGGTGAGAAGCGCTACAGCCGTGGTTTTGCTTATTGTCACAGCAAGTTGGCCAATGTGCTTTTTACTCGTCAGCTGGCCAAAAAGCTCCAAGGTAAGTCGGGAGAAAGGGCCAGGGTTCAGGTAGTGAAAGCAGGGTTTTCAGTCCAGATTAGAGGTTCACAGAAATTTCTGAACACCTCAAACATGAACACTACAGTGGTAGGTAGCTCTATGCCCTGAGGAGGATGCCCTTGGGAAACTTCAAATTGAGTAACAGTTAGGAACCTAGGAAGTTACCTTACATTTATGTCAAATCTTATATCTATTATCTGATATTATTTTTCACAACAACCTCTTGCAACAGGCAGAGCAGGTATTATTATTATATGGGTCCAAACTGAGGTCCAAAGAAGCAGCCAGCCCAGGTATATACTGCTTTTAATCCAGGGTACTTCCTTCTGAGTGCTATTTGCTGAGATTCACGTGGTTAGCTGAGCAAGAGAGGTGCCACTGCCCGGAGTCAGGGAGCTAGGGCTGGACGTCACCCCCTGGGTCTGAGTTCTTGCTCTATCACATGGTAGCCACGTGTGTGTAAGGACATGTCCCTTTATCTTCTCCTGACTTCATCCCCTCAACTTTAAAATGAGGTGAGGCCTCTCTTAGTCCTATGATCCTTTCCCTATCTGGAGTTTTCTTTGAGTTGCTGGCTTTGGGATCTGGAAATCATGGGGACTATTTGCTACGCTGAATAAGCCAGAGTTCGGGAACAATGGTATTTGCTATCAGAACACAGAAGGTAGAAGAATAGGCCAACCATTAAAAGAAATAATAATAATGACAATAATAATTGAGAGTTTTGTGTGTGCCACGTACTATACATGTCTTAACTCATTTAATACAACATTCCTATGAGGTAGGTGCTACTGTTTTTCCCTGCTCTACAAGCAAACAAACAAGATAGGCAGAAGAGACCAGCACAGATATATATGCAACTTGACCAAGCAAGTTTCCTAGCTGAGCCAGGATTTAAATCCAGACAGTCCAGCTCTGGAGTCCATGCTCTTTACATCAGAGTTCAGACCTTGGCCTTGCAACCTGCTAAGGTATGACCTTGGGCAATCTTAACTTAACCTCACTGTGATGAGACTTCAGCTTTTTCCACGGTAAATGGGCATCTTAATATAACTTACCTCATAAGCCTCTTTGAGAAGCAAATGAGATAATGCAGGTAAAGCACATAGAAGGCCCTTGCACATACTAAGTACTAAAAATTGTGGAGGCACCAGGGGTGTCTGGGGGGCATGTTAACCCCCATCATCTTCATCAACACCCCTCAATCTACACCTCATAAAATGTGCTTGCCCGACAAATGCGGCTCAAGCCACTAACTTCCTTTCTTTCAACCACATTGCTTCCCTTAAGTCAGGAGTGGGAAACCTTTTTTCTGCCAAGGGCCATTTGGATATTTATAACATCATTCGCCGGCCATGCAAAAATATCAATTTAAAAATTAGCCTGCTATATTTGGTCAAATATTTAATTAACTCACCCCTAATGCCTTGGCAGGGCCAGACCAAATGATTTCATGGGCCTTATACAGCCCGCAGGTCAGATGTTCCCTACCTCTGCAAGCCCTTCCTATAGAAATTCCAAAGATGCCACTGTCAGTAATTGATACTACTACTATTGCTACTAGTAGTAGTATTAGTAGTGCAACTAGTACATGTTGTTGTTTCTATTATTAACTAGAGGCCTGGTGCATGAAATTCATGAACAGGGGTGGGAGGGGTGTCCCTCAGCCTGGCCTGCACCCTCTCCAATCTGGGACATCCGTCTCATAATTTGGAACCGCTGGCTCCTAACCACTTGCCTGCCTGCCTTCCTGATCTCCCCTAACCGCCTCTGCCTGCCTGCCTGATCAACCCTAACTGCCTCTGTCTGCCTGCCTGATCGCCCCCTAACCGCTCCCCTGCCAGCCTGATCACCCCTAACTGCCCTCCCCTGCCGGCCTGATCACCCGCTAACTGCTCTCCCCTGCTGGACTGATCGCCCCTAACTGCTTGCTCCCCTGCCAGCCTGATCACCCCTAACTGCCTCTGCCTCGGCCCCTGCCACCGTGGCTTTGTTCGAAAGGAAGTCAGACATCCGGAAGATGTCCGGTTGACCTGGTCTAATTAGCATATTACCCTTTTATTAGTATAGATACTTAAGTCACAGAGAAAGATGACATCGACATAGAAGGACCTTCAACCAAGCATTCATTTTGGAGCACAGAAGGCTGAGAAGGCTATAGATCTTTCTGGAAGAGATCAATTAATTACTAGCCAGATTTTACCTGGCTAGGGGTGGCACCTTCTAAATCACTGGGTTCTGTTTTCTGAGGCCCTTCTTCTCACTTATGCATTTTGCAGCGGGAGGTGAGCTGTTTCGGGGGCTCAGAGTGTGTCCCTGCTCTAACTGTGCCCTCTTTGCCCTAGGCACAGGGGTCACCACCTACTCGGTGCACCCGGGCATCGTCCGCTCCGAGCTGGTCCGCCACTCCTTCCTGATGTGCCTGCTCTGGCGGCTCTTCTCCCCCTTCCTCAAGTCAGCGCGGGAGGGGGCGCAGACCAGCCTGCACTGCGCCCTGGCTGAGGGCCTGGAGCCCCTGAGCGGCAAGTACTTCAGGTGCGTGGAGGCAGCGCAGGTTCTCTCCCCACCTGTGCATGGTGACACTCACCGTTCCCTGTTTGCGCCTCATAGCAGAATCCAGGTTTGGTTTGGGCCTGCAATCCAGGTTTGGGTTGGGCCTGCAAACCAAATGCTGTGACTTTTCCAAGGGAACTTACATTAGAAACTTGGCAAGAGTTGCTTTCCTGGCTCTATTTTATATCTTGTGCCATGTTTCCAGGAAAGAAAGCTTTGTAGCTTTCTGAGAGCCGTAAGAGAAGGCTGTCCCCGTTGACGGTGCCTTGGGAAGGATATTAGCAGGCTCCCTCGTTGAACCTTTGGCTGACTTTTCCATGCATTCCTTAATACCACTTAGCACAATGCACCAGGGCAAGGCCACACTCCCCAGGGTGAACTCTGTCTCCCCAGGCTGCCAAGATCAGCACTATCTGTTGCAATATAGAAATAGACATTTCAGTGTTGAGTCTTATCACAAATTCAGTTTGGGAATAAAGGGGAGCCTGGGATTAAAAGAGGGAAACACTATATATCTATTTCTATACAAACAGAGCAGAGCAGAGTGTAAGGAAAGGTAATTAACGCATAGGCATTTCTTTATCAGAACTGCATTTTCCATGAATGCAGGCAATGAACTTCAGGATTCGTGGTAATACCTATGACTTTGTCACCCATGAAACTGTAGTATTTTCATGCCCCATTGCAGTTGCAGATTTCTCAAAATGTCACTTCTGCTCGCCACTACTTGGAAATCCTGTGGTTATTAGACCCAGTGCTAGCTCTTGTTATAGATTATATTAGTAAAGAAGCTTATGTGTTACTATGCCATGGATTTACAATATTTAAAGACTGCATTCCAATACAGTTGGTTTCTTTTCATGCAACCTATTTTATACATTTAGAAATGTATTCTGAGAAAGAGGTCATAAACTTTTCCAGACTGTCAATTTCCACTCCTGGATGTTTACATTCTTTCTTTGCCCTCCAGTGACTGCAAGAGGGCCTGGGTGTCTCCAAGGGCCCGAAATAACAAAACTGCTGAGCGTCTGTGGGCCGTCAGCTGTGAGCTTCTAGGAATTCAATGGAAGTAGAGCTGGTGGAAGAGCCACGGCTTTATCAGGTCTGGTTCGTGCCATCATGAAGGGGGACCAAGAAGGCCAACCCTGAGGATGGTCCTCCCGGCTGGCTGCTGCTGTGAATCCTGTCCTCCTCTGATTCTCCTGACCCTTCTGGAAACCTCTGTATACCCAACCCTCTTGTGAGGCTGGCTCATGGCATCAGATGTTCCCATCTACAGAGCATTCTTCTCCAAGACTTGCAGTCGGCCTCCCTCTCGGGGCAGGAGGAGGAGGCAGATGCCAGGCTGAGCACAGGGATGGCAAAAGAGACTGGGAAACTGGGTCAGTTTCCTCACCAGGACCAGAAACGCCAGCCAGCAGGCTCAGCTGAGGTGGCAGGAGCACCAGCGTTACGTATTTCCAGGGACTATAGACTCAAACTTTTGACTAATCTCTCCTCTTTAAATTCTGGTCACAACTCTGGAGTCTGGACCAACTCAGGAAAATCCTGGCTTAACCTTGGCCAACTTTGGTTCCTTCCTCTGAGCACCCTGGAGTCCCTGCATGAAGCTGGGCCTTCCCATTTTCTTTTTCCACTTCTTTTTTAGAAATTGAAAAAAAATTTCTAGCTTTATTGAGATATAATTTTTAATCATGTAGATGGTTTCATTTTCAAAAGCATTCCCTTCACCTCATATTTTTAATAGTTTGTTGATTTTGTTTTTAAAGAAAGACAGGAAGGAAGAGGGAGAGAGAGATATAAATATCAATGATGAGAGAGAATCATTGATCGGCTGCCTCCTGTACAACCCGTACTGGGGATCAGGCCCACAACCCAGGCATGTGTCTTTGCCCGGGGAATTGAACCGGCTACCTCCTGGTGCACGGGACAATACCCAACCAACTGAGCCACACCAGCCAGGGCTTTACCTCAATTTTTAGAGGAAATAGACTACACATCCCATTGCCTTACTTATTTTCTCAGGGTAGCAAGAGAGAAATGGAACAAAATGGGAAGCCAGCCTTCTATTTTAGTGAGTAGTATCTCACCCTACTCACAACCCATAACCTTGTTATAATGTCACATCTTATAATGCATTATTAGGATGGTGTAAAATAAGATGTTTCGATTGGATATTTCCTCAAGTTTCTTCCAGCTCTCCCGTTTTATTATCTAAGAAGTAATGGAAGTGACTTCAATTATACATATGCTACGTTTCACTATAGATTAAGGCTCGAGGGAATGTGGGACTTGATTGAATTTGATACATAGATGCAGAAAAACCACGCTCTGATAAACCCTCTACCTGAAATCATAGGTCTTCTCTCTCTGGCCTCCCTGCTCTCCTGTGCTGCAGCCCTGGGTGACCTGCTGCTTGCCTCAAGTGCTGAAGTCACCAAGAAGAGGTAGAGAGATGACCTAATCTGTGAGCCAATTGAGCCACGAAGTCAGGTTATTGGTTTCTATTCTAAAGCATCCACAGGGCATCTGGTGACAAAAATGCCCTTTTCATCCATAGCAAGTAGACTTTTTTTTTTTAAAACACCTTTTTATTAAGGAAATTTTTAAATAGAAAAAAGTAGAGCAAATGGTATTATGAATCCCCATGTACCTGCCTGTCATCCAGCTTCAACATTAGTGTTCTGTCAGTCTTGTTTCATCTATATTTCCTCCAGGACATTTTTTTGGGGGTGGGGTGGGATATTGGAAAGCACATTCTAGACATCACACATTCATTCATAAATACTTTAATGTGTGTATCTAAATAAGGACATTTGTTTGTTCGTTCGTTTGTTTGTTACTAAATCACAATGCTCTATGTGAATGAAAAAGGGGCTACGCAATAACCCTGGCAAGCTCAGTGAACAAAAGTAACCACACAGGGTGTTCTGACCTCAGAGTCCTAACTGAACGGGTTATAGCAGGCAGTCACATCCCAGTCTATAGCTTCCTTAGCAAAGGTCATTTTTTTTTAAATCCTCACCTGAGGATATGTTTATTGATTTTAGAGAGAGAGAGGCATTGATGTGAGAGAGAAACATCGATCCGTTCGGTTGCCTCCTGTATGCTCTCCAACCAGGAACCAAACCTGCAACCTGGGCATGTGCCCTGACCGGGAATCAAACCTGCGACCTTTGGTGTATTGTACCAACTGAGCAACACCAGCCAGGGTAGCAAAGCTCAGTCTTTACCTTAAGTGAGCTCTGTCCATTGCTCTTATGCGTCTAGGATAATATGTCTTTGAAATGTCAGAGTAATTTTATTTTCTGGACCTCTCTTAGGCACAACTACCAGCACCAGAGCACAAGACCACAGAGTCCCTCTTGTTATCTTGTTCCCATATACCATTTCTATGTGCTGTGAATGTTTATTAACTATTCCCTACCCACCAATGTAAAAGTGTTTCTCCATTTTGCCTTTTATCCAATCCTATGTTTCTCTCCCCACCCCCTCGCCCATGCTTTCTCCCACCTCCTTCATCTACCACCAATGGATTTCATGTAACCCTCTTATGACTCCTCCTTTGATTCTAATGTATAAAATAAGCTGCAAAACTGCCATTCTCCGGAGCCTTTTCTCAATCTGTTAAGATTTTGCTTCCTGTTATATGTCATCAGTTTGGCTCAAATAAACTCATAACAACTCGCTATAGTTTTGAACTTTTCTTATGCTGACATGTAACTGCTAACAACATGAATAATTCCTGAGTATCATTTACTACTTGAAGTTCAAGTTTCCTTGGTTGTCTCACAGAAGTCTTTTTACCACTGGTTTGTTTAAATCAGGGAAAGAGAGATGATTCTCCTGAAAAAAAAAAAAAAGAAGAAGTGGAAGTTTCCCCCCCAGAAGCCCCAGCAAATCTTCTTGTGCCTCATTGGCCTAAATAAATACTGGGCCCTCTCCTGAACCAATCCTTATGGCTAAGGATGGGCTATGTTAATTGGCTTAAGCCAATCACATCCCACACCTGAAGCTTCACCCACTCCACCCAGTGGGGAAGAATAGTAGCTGATACAAAGCACTTAGGTTAATTAGGATTAGCAGTCCCCACAAGTACCCTCTAGGGCAGCTACTATTGCTATCCCCACTTTACTGACTGGCACCGAGAAGTGAAGTAGCTTGCCCAGGTTCACAAGGAGTGGACCCTGGTAGTCTGACTCTAGAACCAACGTTTTTGTTTGTTTTTTTTTAAATATATTTTATTGATTTTCCACAGAGAGGAAGGGAGAGAGATAGAGAGTTAGAAACATCGATGAGAGAGAAACATTGATCAGCTGCCTCCGGCACATCTCCCACTGGGGATGTGCCCACAACCCAGGTACATGCCCTTGACCGGAATCGAACCTGGGACCCTTCAGTCCGCAGGCCAACGCTCTATCCACTGAGCCAAACCGGTTTCAGCTAGAACCAACGTTTTTAACAGCCATGCTCTGTGGCTTCCCAAGGTGGAGGAAGCAACAAATTCCCTCAGGGAACATGAAGGAGCGGAGGGGTGAGGGGAACACTGGGGAAGCAATCAATACGTGCTCCCTCCTGAGACCCGGTGCCTCCTAGGCTGTTGGGTCCACTGGGAAGCCTGGTGAAGAAGGAAGGGGAAAAAGAGGAGGAGGGTGGAAACAGGAAAAGGCCATGCAAGGGTGGGAGACAGGGCTGGTGAGGAGCATGCATGGCATTGATGATCCTGGATTTCTCCTCTGTGCTGGAAGAATAAGCAGACATCGAAAACCGGGGGCACACAGGGCTGCTGTCATGCAGGAGGAGAGCAAGCAGACCATGAGTGTGAGAGCAAAGATTCACACCTGGGTAAGAGTTTAAGAGATAAGCAATGCAAACACTGAGGCAAGAGGCATGGGCTTGGGGTGAGGGCTTTGATGCACGTCAGAGATGGCTGGTTGTAGGTGGAAGAAACAAAGGCATGCACGGGCTGCAAGGAGTTGGCTCCAGCTGCCACTTCTAGGCAGTACGCTGGCATTGCTGTGGTAGCAGAGGGCTTTTGAGTAAACCTGCTCACAAGGCTGGGTTCTTCCACTTCCACACATTCAATCAACCACAGTCCTTTTTATTAAATTGGACTCTTCTCTCTATAGAACTTTTTTTTTTTCCAGAGAGAACAGAATGCTAATACATTCAAAAGATTGTTCCTTAACATATATGGGATCCTTATGTGTGCTTAGAACCCTTTGGCCTATTACATTTTATAATTTTTCATGTTTGTCAGACTACTTGTTAGTAGGATTGGCTTAATAAAGGCCATCCTATTCTTGATTTGTGGCAAATATCTGAAATCTGAAAAACCTTTTTGTATTTTCTCTAAGATACACAGAGACCTGGGGGCCGAGTGCTGGGGACAGAGGGCTCAGAGCCTCAACCTGAAGCAGAGGGGCGGGGCGGTAGTAAGACAGCAGGGCCTGGAACTCAGGGCCAAGCCAGGAGTCTACACGTAGGATCCGCAGGGTCTATAAATGCTAGGAGGAAAGCAATTTGAGTGAGATCCCAGCACCCAAGAGGGAAGAACTTTGCTTTCCCACAGCTTAATGGCCTTAGAAACTTGGGGGGCTGAGGGCTGGCGTTAAGGTCACAGTGTTTGGTGGAGAAATCCCTCCCTTTGAGTTTTAGGGTAGGGGAGCATTGCCTGCATTATCATCTAACCATGGCCTCTGGAAAACACAAAAATCGCCCCAATTCTACTTTCCTCATCACAACATCCATACTGTACATACTCTTCTTTCCTAAAGAATAGCTCTACTTGAAGTATGCATCATTTCCTGCCCTCCTGGCACAGCTCAGCCGGATCAAAGTAGTACAGGACTGGGGTGCTTACTTCTAATCATAAGGCCTAACCTCATTGAAAGAAGTCTGTGGCCCTGGCTGGTTTGGCTCAATGAATAGAGCGTTGGCCTGCGATTGAAGGGACCCGGATTTGATTCCAGTCAAGGGCACATGCCCAGGTTGCGGGGTCGATCCCCAGTAGGGGGCGTGCAAGAGGCAGCAGATCAGTGATTCTCTTTCCTCATTGATGTTTTGATCTCCCTCTCCCTTCCTCTCTGAAATCAATAAAATGTATTTTAAAAATAATAAAAAATAAAAAAGTCTGTGCAATATTAGCTGGCCAGGGAAAGTATTTTAAATCTGAAGTTTTCTATTTTATTTCGAATTGTTGGGTGCACTTATACTTAACAGTAGTGACACCAAATATGCAAGAACTAAGCAGCAAAGAATGCCAAAAAGAAAAAAATGTGAGTATTGGTTTTACATGTTGTTGGCATTTTCATAATGTTGAACAACAGTTGTTCCCCTTGCTTAGATTCTAGGCTCTGTCACTTCTCATGGTGGTCAGGTGCTCCCACAAGACTCAGCCTCCCACAGCACTGCTCCCTGGGAACCATCTCACGCTCTGGCTTCATCTTGTCTCTGTGGAGCTGACTGTCCAACACCAAAAGTGTTGTCTAGTCTGCTCAGCCTGGGCAAGGAACAGGTGCCAGCCTTGGCCTCCTGTCATGTTTCCAGAAGAGACTTGCCTCACGTTAACTACCCAGCAAGGGAAAGAAAGGCCTTAGCTCAGCATAAATGACACTGGGAATCCCATGGCTGAGTCACCATTCAACCTTCCCATCTCTGCTCCTTAGATTTTCCCATGACCACAGAGGCCATTTCTCTTGAAATCTGTCTGTGCTATGGATGT